ATTTAACTAAACTATATAATATTTACGATTTGTTTAAGCTTTGAAAGTAGTGGTTAAAACTTTGTTTTAAGATTATGTTTGATTTTTATGTTGAAAGTAGATAATTGTTGAAAGTAGTGGTTTAAACTTTGTTTTAAGATTATGTTTGATTGTTATATTGAAAGTAGATGATTGTAGAAAGTAGTGGTTTAAACTTTGTTTTAAGATTATGTTTGATTGTTATGTTGAAAGTAGATGATTGTTGAAAGTAGTGGTTTAAACTTTGTTTTAAGATTATGTTTGATTAATATGTGGTTCATTCTTTGAGACTGATTTTATTGTTATAAGTTAATGTTAAAAAAATGCGTGTTAGTTATGTAGTATAACTGATTTTAATGTTAATGACTTGAGATGAACACTTTTGATTTTTATATGAAGAACCCAGATGAAAATGTGAGTAAATTGTTTATTAATAACTCTTATAAATCTGACTTAAACATGTTATATAAAGCTAATGAGTTTTATTTGTGTTATATATAACCTAACATTTAGCTTTCTCACGTTAAGAATGATATGTACGAACTCATTTTTAATAATATCAACTAACTATTTGCCACAACTGCGTCCAATGCTTACATATGAAACGTGGGTAAGCTTTACCGAGGAATTATATTTAAAAATCATTTTTGTGACAGTATTTTTTACCTTTTGAGTTTTTGCCCAGCGACTGGACATTTATTTGGACATAAAAACGTTTTTTCCCTATTTGCCCAGTATATGCCCTTTTTGCCCATTTGAGTTTTTACCCTTGACCCATATCTAGTCGTACCCAAAAAGGCTGACGCATCGGGAAAGCAAAAATGGAGGATAGTAGTCGACTTCAGAAAACTAAATGAGAAAACTATCGATGACAAGTACCCCATACCTAACACCTGCCTTTGATAAATTAGAGAAATATCAATACTTCTCAACGTTAGATATTGCATCAATGTGAAATGAATCCAGACGATATATCTCAAGGAAGGGAAGGAATCAAACCAAACCCCGATAAAATTGTAGCTATCCAGAACTACCCTATTCCTATAACCCCTAAGGAAATTAAGCAGTTTTTAGGACTGATAGATTACTATCGTAAATTTATTCCCGACTTTGCTCGTATAACAAAACCAATGACTGTTTGTTTAAAGAAAGGTAAAAAGAACCCTTGATTCAGAATACGAAGATTGCTTTGATAAATGTAAGACCTTACTGACTAGTGACCCTGTGCTACACTACCCCGACTTCACCAAAGACTTCATTTCAACGACAGATGCGTCCAACGTAGCCATTAGAGCTATTCTTTCTCGAGGTGGTACCACACTTTAAGAAGATACGTTGCACGAAACTTGCAAGTCCCAATTTGTAATCTCATAGATGAAAGGTTGACACTAAATTACGAGAACCGATCCATATTCACACCAAACAAGAAGAAGAGTGCCTGACCAATCATGCTATTATAGCCGACAATTATATTTCTACAATTTAGCCGTTGTTTAATTAGAGCGTGTATTCTCCTATTATTGTACAGAAGACGAGTGTAACAAAAAATGCGAATTTGGTGGCATTTGCAGTTTATAAAACCTTTGTAAAACTGATAAAGCAGGCACATCAAGAATTCGTTTGGTTACAGACGAATGCGGCGGGCAAAACAAAAATAGTATTTTTAGCGCATACTAAATGCGCTGCAAATGGCTATTAGAAAATGTAAATATTAAGAGTTTAGAAGTAATTTTTCCTGTCACCGGACATTTCTTTATGCCGTAAAATGGAGATAGTACTTCATCCCAAAGAAATATATTGTGTCTGAAAACGCAAAATTAATTAAATTTGGTTTTGCTGCTTTAGTTTTAATTGCTTTGCTTCCAATAATTTGGGTAAAGACCTGAAAAAAGATCACTTTGCACCTGTGCTAAGAGAGGCTATTAGCACAATATCAGAAGAATGCATGCGGAATGGGATGAGCTAGAGGTTTACACCCTTTCGGACCAAACTCCATTGACATGAGAAAAAAGAAACATACACAAATTATTGTTAAATGTAAGTGGACCCAAAGCAAATACTTGGAAGCTGAGATAGTTGCTGTTTATTCGAGACAAAAGTTAGACTTGTTCAACTCATTATACCTCAAAGACAGCAGCACCGTTGAACAGAACTTACCAAGTGAACATGAATCGCTGTTTGTTGTCTGGGCCAAAAACAAACAACAACAAACAAAGAAAGTGAAAGGTTTGTTCCCCAACTAGATTCAGTAGAGAATCAACTCTTCAACTCTGAAGCTGCTCCAGATAACACAGAAAGTGAAGTGCAACATACCAATTAGACGACTATTTTAACTACGGAGGGTTCTCTGCTGTTGAAATCTCAGAAAAAATCATCTCTCAAACGACTAGAATGCACTGAAATTTAATCATACCGAGATTCTTTAGCTTTAACTACAATAAGTGAATTACCTGATCAAATGGAGGAACCGCGACACGAGCAGACAAAGGAATTAGTGTCAAAAAACAAGAATTATCCTGTAGTACACCACTTACGCAGACCCAATCATCTATATATATACAAGAAAGTCGTGTTAGTTACACCACTTATAACTCAAGAACGGCAGAACAGATTTGGGTGAAAATTGGTAGGGAGGTAGCTTAGAGCCAGGAGACGGACATAAGATACTTTTTATCCCGTTCGACAGCGTTCCCGTGTGACTTGACATGAAACGTCAGTCACTATAAAACGTGGTATAACAAAAAAGAATCAGACTTGGAATAACAAAACGCAAATGACAGCTATGTAATTGACGTATAATGACAGCTATGTAATGACGTATAGATGACAATTTGATATTTGTAAGATCTCAATATTCAAACTATTTCTATTAAATAAATAATTAACAATTATTATGTAATGATAGTGCCATTGCCCATTCGTATAAACAGTGAAGTCAACTATAAAACTCGGTATGGTTGAAAATTTGAGTTTTGAAATAAATTAGGTGAATTGAAGTGAAGTGAAGTTTAATTAATAATGCCGCGAGCAAGACGATCGAATCTTTCCCGACAAAGCCGTAATGCAAGAAGAATACGAAATACTGCAAATGAAAGGACTGAAGAAGAACAAGAAATTGCACGTGAACAGCGCCGCGATAGTATGGCTCGACTTCGTGCTTCTCATTCACGAGAGCTAAGTGAAGCAGCCCGTGAAACAGCTCGGTTGGCAATGCGGAATCGTCGAGCGAACAACAGAGGTCAACAAATAGATAATTTGCGACTCAGAACAAGATATTTATCAAGTGCTGATTTGAATCGAGCAGGCGTTTCGATACGATTGCAGCAATGATTACAGCTTGCATCTTAGCGTTTGCATTGGGCAAATGGACGTTGTTTGTGAGTATTGTGGTGCATTAAAGTTTTCCGGAGAAACGGCTGGATTATGCTGCCTTAATGGTAAAGTGAAATCGCCGTTGTTGGCTCCGCCACATGGGCCATTGTATTCATTGCTTTGTGGCGAAACACAAGAATCACGCCACTTTCTTGCAAACACTCAAAAATACAATGGTTGTTTCCAAATGACGTCATTTGGGGCAGATATTATCGAAGAACGAGGATTAAATCCGACATTTAAGGTATTTATTTTTGTACTTACATAGAATGTAGTTAAAGAATAACTTACTTTATCTACTGGTATCTATTATATTTGCTAATTCTGAACTCTACTCTCCCACCCAAAAATATTTGCTAATTCGGAACTCTACTCTCCCACCGAAAAAAGTGTTTATAACCCAGTTAATACTGTCTGGTTTTTATTTTGTAGATACAAGGACAGATTCACCATCGAATTCGATCATTACTACCTTTCGAAGATACTGTAACGTTCGCTAATTGCTTTGTAAATATTCAAATTATTTGTATTTACTTTTGCTTTCGGGTAAAAAGTAAGTGCATTTGTTTTTTACGAAAAATATAAGCCCAAATTACTGTTTCATTCATATACGACTAAAAGCACGATGAAGTAAGACATATTTTCTGATGTGTAACATCTTTCCTCTCGCTTTCCTGCAATTTGTAGGAGTGATTTCGTGAAATGGGACGGAAGTGTGTAACAGGAAGTCGCGAAAGCGCGCGCTATTTGATTTGATTTAAGAACATAATGTTCAAATGGCTTATTCCTTTTGTAGTAGGTTTTATTTGTTTCTTAGGTTTTCACGCACACACTCTCATTAAATTAAATTCACACTCGCACGCACTCATTAAATAAAATAAAAATAAAATATTCGAACACTGTATATTCAATCTAACGCGTTGCGTCAAAGCGTGCTTTGTAAACAAGACCCCGCAGAAGGCGTTCGCGGGAGGAATGCGCCCGGGGGGGGGGAGCTCGCGCCGAGAGATTTGTTGATAAGAACTATTACGAACGGCTGTGTGATTGGAAGCTAAAAATTGAGTTGCAAGTCATTCTTGCTTGTTGCAATTTCTAACTTTTTTATTTATATTTTATTGTGAAGTTTTGGATTTTCATAATAATTAGTGCTGGTGCATCCGATACTGGGAACTACGTACGGGTGTCTTGATCCGTAAAAAACCACTAGTTGAGGGCTGACGGAGGTCGACGAAGATCAGACTGTCGCGACGAGTTCGGGAACGTAGCCTTGTAGCGGGGACATAGACGCTGCACCGAACAGGGGAGTGCCGCTCCGGTGAATTCTCTGGCTCCAACCTCCAACCTACGTACGACCCTGGTCTTTGTATAAATAACTTATTTTCTTGTAGTATATTGTATAGTAATCTTAATTTGTCGTTTTATTTAGTGCAATCCTAAATAAATCGTGACAATGCCCCACGTTGGGCGCCGCGTTGTGCGGGGTCTTGTTTACAAAGCACGCTTTGACGCAACGCGTTAGATTGAATATACAGTGTTCGAACATTTACAAAGCAATTAGCGAACGTTACAAAACACAGAATAAATTTTTACAAATATATTTCATGGGCAACATGGAAGAACAACTTGATCGACGCCTAGCGATCAATGCAGGAATGAAGCGAGCAATTCTTCAAGACTTGCAGTGTCTGCTTCATGAACATCATGCGTTGGTCAAGTTGTTTAAGAGTGCTTTAGATCGCATGCCAAATGATGACTATAAGGTTGTCATCAAAGCAGATAAACGACCATCTGGAACACACGAACGCACATTTAATGCTCCAACAGACGAAGTTGCCATCCTGATTGTTGGTGAACAATTGGATAAACGTGATATTATGCTTACACGTCGCGATACTGGGCAACTGCAATAAATATCTGAAACTCATCGATCATATGACGCATTGCAATACCCGCTGATGTTTTGGCAAGGAGAAGATGGATATTATTTTAATATTAAAATGATAAATCCATTGAATAGTGAGTATCAGTATCATAATTTATTTCATTTATTTGTGAAAGACACTGATTTAAAATAATGCTTATTAAAAAAATGGTTAATGTCTGTATTGTTTGCCTTTGAAATTTGCCTTTGAAATGGTAAATTATCAAATTTTTAATTTCAGGTGAAGAAACTACAAAGAAAGTTAGCTCAATGAATTATTACGCATATCGTTTGATGATTCGTCAAAATGCTGACAACTATTTGCTGCGGTTTCGTCGATTGTTTCAGCAGCATTGCGTTGACATGTATGTAAAAATAGAAACGGAACGTTTAACATTCATTAGGTTAAACCAAGCCAAACTGCGTTCTGAGGAGTACATCCATTAACGTGATGCAGTTAGTACTGAAGGAAATGCAGCTAATATTGGTCGATTAACTATTCTGCCGGCGACGTACATTGGTAGTCCACGTCATATGCATGAATATGCACAAGATGCAATGACATATGTTCGTCATTACGGTCGGCCAGATCTCTTTATTACTTTTACCTGTAATCCAAAATGGATAGAAATTACTCAATTGCTGCTTCCCGGACAAACATCAAGTGATAGACACGACATCACAGCACGTATATTCAGGCAAAAAATTCGGTCCCTGATGAACTTTATTGTTAAACAACGCGTCTTTGGAGATACTCGATGCTGGATGTATTCAATCGAATGGCAAAAGCGAGGCCTGCCGCACGCACACATTCTTCTTTGGTTAGTGGAAAGAATTCAGCCTGGCCAAATAGATGATATCATATGTGCCGAGATTCCTGATCATGAAGTCGATCCAGACCTACATGATGTTGTTACTATTAATATGATTCATGGACCGTGTGGTGCCATCAATCCCCAATCACCTTGCATGGTCGATGGAAAGTGCTCTTAACGATATCCACGGAAATTAACGGCGGAGACTGTCACTGGCAACGATGGTTATCCGCTGTATCGGCGTCGATCACCAGATGACAACGGTCGAACTGTCACAAGGAAAGTGAAAAGAATGGATTTCGTTGTCGACACCAGTTGGATTGTTCCATATTCGCCACTTATTTCTAAAACGTTCAAGACACATTGCAACGTTGAATACTGCAATTCAGTTAAGTCCATAAAATATATTTGCAAATAAGTCACGAAAGGCAGTGATATGGCGGTTTTTGGATTGCAATCCTCGAATACCAACGATGAAATTTCACGCTATCAAGTTGGTCGTTATGTGAACTGTAATGAAGCGATTTGGCGTATATTCGCATTTCCCATTCACAAACGTCATCCTACTGTTATGCATTTGATGGTGAATCTGGAGAATGGTCAACGAGTATATTTCACGGCTTCGAATGCTACGCAACGTGCTGAAACACCTCCAGCAACTACATTGACCAGTTTTTTTGCAATTTGCCAAAGCGATCAGTTTGCACGAACCTTGCTTTACTCGGAGATGCCATGTTATTATACTTGGAATGCTTCATCAAAAAATTTTCAAAGACGGAAGCAAGGCGATGCGGTTCTTGGGTATCCAGATGTGCGTTCTACTGATGCTCTTGGTCGTATGTATACAGTTCATCCAAAGAATGATGAATGTTTCTATTTGCGGTTGTTGCTGGTAAATGTGCGTGGGCCAACGTCATTTGAGACACTACGAACTGTTAATGGTGTAATATTCCCAACATATCGTGCTGCATGTGAAGAATTGAACTTGTTAGAAAACGATACCCATTGGGATACGACAATCGCTGAAGCCATTATCTCTGCATCTCCAAGTCAGATACCCACATTATTCGCTATCATAATTTCGACATGTTTTCCATCAAACCCATGTAACCTGTGGCACAAATACAAGGATAATATGTCAGAAGATATTTTACGTCCAGAAATCACGATATTGAGATGAATGAGGAGATACATAATCGTGCTTTACTCTTGATCGAAGATATGTGTTACCTCATGTGCGGTAATTTATTAATCAGGTTAGGAATGCCAGCGCCATATCGTGAAATGAATGACGCATTTAATCGAGAATTGGAACGGGAACGTGAATATGATCACCAGGAATTAGATTTAGTAGTTCAAACGAATGTACCCCTGTTGAATTACCAACAAAAGGAAGTTTATGATACTTTAATGAAGGCAATCGATGATGAAAATGGTGGTTTATATTTCCTAGATGCCCCTGGTGGAACTGGCAAGACATTCCTCATGTCATTAGTTTTAGCAACTGTTCGGGCGAGATCCAACATAGCGGTTGCAGTTGCTTCTTTTGGAATAGCAGCCACATTGTTAGAAGGATGCCGTACGGCCCATTCAGCATTAAAATTACCGTTAAATCTTCAATCTATTGAAGAACCAACGTGTAATATTGCAAAACACTCAGCAATGGCCAAAGTTTTAGCGGCATCGAAAATCATCATCTGGGACGAATGCACAATGGCGCATAAACGTGCATTAGAAGCACTTAACCGAACATTAAAAGATTTACGCAATGACTCGAGATGTTTTGGAGGAGCAATGATTTTACTGTCTGGCGATTTCCGCCAAATACTGCCAGTAATTCCAAGATCTACGGCTGCCGACGAAATAAACGCTTGCCTAAAATCGTCAAAGCTATGGCGCTATGTGAAGAAACTGCAGCTGACAACAAACATAAGAGTTACATTGCTTAATGATACATCTGCTGAAGATTTCTCGGAGCAATTGCTGACTATCGGTAATGGTCAAGTACCTGTCGATGAATCGAGCGGATTAATATCATTTCCAAATAATTTCTGTAATTATGTCTCATCAAAAGACGAACTTATCAACAATGTACACACATCAAAAGTGTCTAGGGATCAAGCATTTTTATGCGGATTTCTTGAGATTGAGATGTGGCTTTGTAATAAATTTATGATTTTATAAATTTATATGGATCCTTTTTGGTGCATTTCATAATTTGAATCAGGAACTGTGAATCAAATTCGAGTAAAAGATGAAAATCAGCTGTCAATATTTTCCCTATAAAAACACAACGCAGTGAAGACATTATTAGTGCTACTGTTTCCCTACTACTGATTAAAACCAACGTTATTATGGAGCGGCGACGTCATTTAAGCAGGGAAGAAATGCTCAGAGCCGTGGGAATGATAGAAGCTGGTTCCCGGCAACGTACTGTGGCTTTAGCTCTGAATACAAGTCAGAGTGTTATCAGTCGACTTTGGACACGATACCGAAGCACTGGTACCGTGGCTGAGCGCCATGGAGGACGGTATCGCTGCACCACACGGAGACAAGACCGATACATTCAAATCTTAACTCGAAGAGCTCCAACAATAACCGCCATGATGTTAGCCGTGAGGCTTCATCACTCTTCAGGGAACTTAATTAGCGACCAAACAGTCAGAAACCGCTTGCATGAAGTGAACCTTCATTCCCGAAGACCGCTACGGGTACCACCTATAGCAATGCACAATCGTAGGATTCGATATCAATGGGCTCTTGAACACAGAAATTTTGCAGAAGAACAATGGCGTTTCGTGTGCTTTTCTGATGAGTCTCGTTTTGGTATGAGACCGGATACAAGACGTATACGACACTGGAGAACCCCTGGACGCCAACAGCGATTAAAATCCTGCCAGGAAGTCCATCCTTATAGTGGTGGAACCATCATGGTATGGGCGGGTATTTGGATCGGCGGAAGAACTGAGTTGATTTGGATCAGAGGCAACCTCAACGCTCAAATTTATGCTGAGACGATTGTATCAGACGTCATCGTTCCTCTACAAGTGCAAATCGGTCCCTTATTTCAGTTAATGCATGATAATGCACGACCGCACACCGCAAGAGTTGTAAGACAGACTCTCGCCGCAGCTAACATCAATGTCCTGCCCTGGCCTGCTCAGTCGCCAGACTTGAACCCGATTGAGCATGCATGGGATATGCTACAGAGAAGAGCTCTGCCGAATATGGAGGGTATCCAGTCGCAAGAAGACCTTTTTTTGTTGTTGCAACGAACATGGGCGGCCATTCCACAGCGTGATTTGGATGAACTCATTTTGAGTATGCCAAACCGATGTTCTTGTGTTGTTAGTGTTCGCGGTAGAAATACGGATTATTAATTGTTTAAGTTACCCAATAAAATTTTAGAGAAAACTGTTATTTCAGTCTTTTTTTCGAACTTTTGTGTTAGTGGTTCAAATGTCAAAAATCCCTTTATTAGGAAAATGGCAAATTTCTTTATTAATGCAAAGGTGACTTGGTTTATCGTTACTGTGACAAACGAAAACACTTTATTTGATGAATCCTTAAAGAAAATTTTAATTAATATCAATCAGGAGAAAAGTTATTGCAAAAATATATGTTGATCCCTAGACACTTTTGATGTGTGTATTTGACGTAAATCAAGTAACTAGTGAGCAGTTTAATACATGGGTTGGTACAGACCATTTCACAATCGCCACTCAAGTTCTTCCTTTTGATGAATTTGTCGAGTCTTTGTTCAGGATTAGACATTTTAAAACCACACGCCTAGATATCACATCAGCAAACTCGGTATTTTAAATTATTAAGAATCGATTTTGGAGGGTGACATAATTAATCATTCAGTGCGATTTGGCTGAAAACTACAGCTTCGTGGTTCAAGACGCTTTCCAGTCATTTCACTGGAATAACGAACAGGCAAGAGTTAAAACACGGAAGTATTGTTATGATATCGGATGACCTAAAACATGACACTGCAACGTTTTATACCTTCCAACGTTTTATACATCAACATTTACGAAAAGGATATGTCGTCGCTTATATTACCGCGAATATGCATTTTTTCCGTTATTTAGTTTTAAATGTTATTGGATAGAGAAAAAGAAAACGCATTTATTGCGCCAATCACGTTAAAGGAAGCTAACCAATTGAAAACTGTAACAATTTTTGCTATCACCAGCTAAGTCAGGGCTCTCTATGAGACTCGAAATTAATTAATTTATAATCAGGGCGCCGTATTACTGTTATTTGAGCGAGATAAAATAAAAAATCAATAACCGCAGTGAACAAGATATATGTATTGTTAATATTCAGTTCAATTTTCAACATATATTAACACACTTAACATTATAAATTAAGATCTTTGAAGATGGCTTTTATAAATTTAGGTATAGAAAATCAGTGACGAGCATACAATCAAAACAGGTGTACATACAGTTATATTAATGTTAATATTCTAAGGAAACATTTTGTTTTAGCAAGTATCGTACATACAAATTTATTTATATAAAGATTCTAATGAAACAATTCGTTTGGCAAATATGAATCTACTTTCGTTAATGAATCTACAGTTTACAACAATAAATCTTTTATTATGTTCTAACAATCTGAAACTTCGTACTTCGGAGAATGCACTGCTTAAAGATTAAATAGGTTGAGAGTTTACTTAGCTTTCAAGATCTCGGTACCATCAAGCGATTCAGGTATCCACGTGGGTTATAACAGAATCTGCTGTCATCACATGGGCTCCTTTTTTTTTTGATCAAGATTGCATTCACAGGCTCATTTATATACACACATCAAAAGTGTCTAGGGATCAACATATATTTTTGCAATAACTTTTCTCCTGATTGATATTAATTAAAATTTTCTTTAAGGATTCATCAAATAAAGTGTTTTCGTTTGTCACAGTAACGATAAACCAAGTCACCTTTGCATTAATAAAGAAATTTGCCATTTTCCTAATAAAGGGATTTTTGACATTTGAACCACTGACACAAAAGTTCGAAAAAAAGACTGAAATAACAGTTTTCTCTAAAATTTTATTGGGTAACTTAAACAATTAATAATCCGTATTTCTACCGCGAACACTAACAACACAAGAACATCGGTTTGGCATACTCAAAATGAGTTCATCCAAATCACGCTGTGGAATGGCCGCCCATGTTCGTTGCAACAACAAAAAAAGGTCTTCTTGCGACTGGATACCCTCCATATTCGGCAGAGCTCTTCTCTGTAGCATATCCCATGCATGCTCAATCGGGTTCAAGTCTGGCGACTGAGCAGGCCAGGGCAGGACATTGATGTTAGCTGCGGCGAGAGTCTGTCTTACAACTCTTGCGGTGTGCGGTCGTGCATTATCATGCATTAACTGAAATAAGGGACCGATTTGCACTTGTAGAGGAACGATGACGTCTGATACAATCGTCTCAGCATAAATTTGAGCGTTGAGGTTGCCTCTGATCCAAATCAACTCAGTTCTTCCACCGATCCAAATACCCGCCCATACCATGATGGTTCCACCACTATAAGGATGGACTTCCTGGCAGGATTTTAATCGCTGTTGGCGTCCAGGGGTTCTCCAGTGTCGTATACGTCTTGTATCCGGTCTCATACCAAAACGAGACTCATCAGAAAAGCACACGAAACGCCATTGTTCTTCTGCCCAATTTCTGTGTTCAAGAGCCCATTGATATCGAATCCTACGATTGTGCATTGCTATAGGTGGTACCCGTAGCGGTCTTCGGGAATGAAGGTTCACTTCATGCAAGCGGTTTCTGACTGTTTGGTCGCTAATTAAGTTCCCTGAAGAGTGATGATTATGGATTCATTTTAAGTGATATTAGCGCGGATACACGCAGCTCATATCACTTAAAATGAATCCATACCAACAAAACGATTTTAATATGTACCAACCCCCAGTCCAGGGGTTTCAAGGGCGCAACCCGCCCAATGGAGGTCGCCGTCCACGTGGTAAGCGTGGTGGTAGAGGTCGTACAGATAAACAATCTCGTGATGATGTGCGCCGAGACGCACACCGTACTCAAGTAAATTTATCCAATCAACACATTATAGATGAAAAGATACACAACCTTCTCTGTGGAGGTCTACAAAAAGTAATTAAAGCAGCCAAACCAACCGCAGAGGCTGTATCTAAAC